AAGCAGCACTGCTGACTTTAAAGAGCTTTTCTCCCAACAGACCCTCACTGCATGATGAATATTTGAATTCTGAAGGTTTCTAAGTAGAAACACAATAACAAAACAAGGGAGAAGGATCACCTTAAAGAAGAGTAATATATAGCCAAAGCAAATCATTCAATCATGGATGAGAAACCCTGCAAGTCTTACAGGATTCTGCCCTCCAGAGTATTCCCAGAAGCGAAGACGGTCAGTAATGAGTAGTCCTTATTATACCTTGCTCTTTCCCACAGCACCAAGAATATAGATTTTTTTTTTTGAAGTATGTGTGCTTTATTGGTATAGTAGGAGCCACAGACTTCAGGAACCACTCCAAAGAAAAGACCTTTAAGCAACTGTAATGGGGCTGAGGAATACTATGATGCAAGCCTCACGACCTAAGCAGCTATATTACAGAATTGGACTTGAGTATTTGTAGTATGGTATCCACTATTTAGATGCTTAAATAGGAATGTTTATGTTCCAGGAGAGAAATATATTTTTCCTGTCACTGCTTTTGAAATGACAACAATATCACCAGCTGTCTAAGGCATCTTAAAAAGACATTTTTATTAATAGTATGATTATTATTATTTTAGTTGTCATTATTGTTATTAAAATGTAAGGTGCTTTTGGCTAAAATTAAGTCAGATATTTCAGTTACTCTTCTTGGTAATCTTTTTATAATAAAGGTAAAAGAAATCATATGGTAATCTATTAATAAGAACTTGTTAATGAAAACCAAGAAAACTTAGTTATATGCAAAGCCAAAGTAATATTAAGCTAATTTTTATATGCTTTGAATAACCTCTTACATAGGCTTAAATTTCACAAGGCTATTGCATTAAAATAGGAAATAACAGCAATAATAAAAGCATGCACTGAACTGGGAAAGCATGACATACAGTAAAGTTAGATGAGATTAGCTATAAATGAAACATAGCTGGCACAACCTCACAGTGCTGTCGAGAGGCTTGAATTTCACATTCATACTTGTTCTTCACAGATTCCAGACAAAGCTCTCTATAGATACCTGTAATCAGACAAATTACAGCAGTATTACTTTCTTTAGCTAGCATCTGACTTTAGAAATCTCTTTTAAGACTGCCTGCAAGTCCCAAAACATGTACATACTGGAAAATACAGATCTATTATATTAGGCACTTACAGTGGCTGGCTGCTTTATAGAGTAAACACAAGAACAAGTAACCCCGTAATTCCGAAGATCTGAGGAAAAATAAATGCTCTTTTAACTTTTTCCCCTAGTTGTCAACAAATTATACCAGCAGTCAATGCTAACTTTACAAAATTGGTCTGTTTCATAGTTATGCTCAAACTATCCTGGATATCCTCAGTTTTCAAATCCATGAAGTACTAAATGGCCTCTTCTAATTTCTAATTAGAATTTTAAATAATGTTTTGATGTTTCTAAATAGCTACAAAACTGAATGAAAAAACAAGCTTTTACAAATTAATATTTAGAATAAGGCTTGCTTTATAATGCATGACCTTAATAAATTACATCAATTAACAAGACACTGTCCCATTCTTTGAAATAGGAACCTTGCAATACAAAGGATACTGCTTCTGAGTATTAGCAGCATTTCTTATACATTCCTGAAAATGTTTCTACTAAACAGCTGAAAAAAAAATCTGAAGGGTATCTGAAATATAGTATCTGGCAAGTATAGATAGAACTTGATTTAATACAGTCAAGGCATTCACACAAAATACTTAAATTGTTCCAGATTACCATCTTGAGGAGTTAAGTTTGCACACACACTAGTGCTGCCTAGCAACTGAAGAACTCCAAACAACAACCTCCTGGAGAATTCGACTACAATTTAATACAGTACAAGAGGAACAATTCTCTTACCAGCAATAGCTTTGAAAAATAAACCTCCAAGTATTATGTCAATCATCTTTCTGCTGTAAAGTCGCTTTTGATCCAAAATTAAAAATGTTCTTTTCTTACATCACTATGTTACGCTGTTTGGTTGGTTGGATTTTTTGGGTTTGGTTGGGGTTGGTTTGTTTCGGGGAGGGGGTTAATATTTATAGCTGATTGGCATATCTAGGTCTACCAATTTATAATCACTGCTTATTTCCCTGAAATTGAGTAGTATAGATATGAATACTTCTAGAAGAAACAGCTTGCTAGAACAGTCAAGATCCACATTTTGTGTGAACAGTGCTCAGTGCCTTAGAGAACAAACACAAGTATCCTTTCTACTACAGATGCAACTATATCCCTAGTTCAGCTAATCATACTTCAGCATTTTTTTCCCAAACCCTTTTTCAGATACTTACGGATTACCTGCTACTACCCACTTCTATCAAGGCTTTCAAACAGCAAGAGCAAATAAGCCTGTTCTGCATTTTCTTGCTTTCTCTAGAATAATTTTATCAATCTCATTCAGTTAAGGACAAAAGGAGAAAGAAAAAAAAACCCAAACAATCCTGATTTCCAGTCTCAACTTGAAGGCAAGTTTGTAGTTTTTATGCTGGACTCTTTTTACATTGGAACATTGCTCTTTAGTGCTGCTGAAGACAAAATCCCCACCTACTGCAAGGCAGCTGCATTTAAAACTGAGAATCAAAAGCATGTGATTAAGATTGCTTTCACATTTTACATCAAATCTTCTGCAAGTTCACCTGCAAATTTTCTGCAAAGCCCAAATGGGCTACTTAGGACTAGTCAAATAGATTTGGTTTAAGAACTTAAAACCCAAGACATTCTGGGTAACCAGCTAAGGAAAAGCAAAGACCACCAGGACGGAGAGAAATGCAATAGATCAAAAGATTTCAAATTCTCTTCATAGTCTGATGTCAAAAGTACCAATGAAGACATACTGAATAGCACTGAAGCAGCACTAGTATTAAAAGTGAAAGCAGGCTAGGCATTTTCCTGTTTGCCTGCACTGTGTTTCTGCTGAATTTCTTAGAAAAGATACTGGCATAGCTTCTCTGGCTAAAGAGATCACAACTGTCTTCTTTTTGGTTTTCTAACAGCCTGTGCTAGGTAACCCTTAGACTGCTGAATTACTCCTAAAGAAGTAGACCTAAAATATGAAAAGAATTTACAGTAAGGAAGAACAGAAATTAATCTTCCTATAATACCACCATTCCATATGATAATATGGTTGTATTCCGGAAAGATAAAAGTTCTTGCCTGCTTCTTCTGTAAGTATAAAAGCCTACCTAAGTATTAGTTTTAATAATTAAAATGCAGCTTAGATAAAAGCTGCATTCTTATAAGGATAAGAGTTCTCCTCCCTCCCTGGATGGAACAGGAGGATAGGAGCAGACGAGAAGAGTCAAACTAGAAGAGCAGAAAACACATTATCACCTAAGATGATCTGGCAAGAACTTCATGAGATAGTGCCTACATATCTCTTCAACAGTAGCTAGTGTACAGACTTGATCCCAAACCTTCTGACTAATAAAAAATTATTACTCTTTTAATTCAGTAATTTTGTGCTTACTACACAAAGACAAACAGCCATTAAATGAAACATTAAAGACATTTTTAATGTGATGTTATCAGGCAACTTGAGCGAAGAGGTAAGCAACCTATTCATTTTGACTTAAAAAATATTTTATGCAGGATACATTTTAAACTATGCCACAGTGTTTCTAATTTTAAAACACATTCCTTTAACAATTCTAAAGAAGAAAGAAGATTGACCTCAAAATGCATAGCAAGTTTATACTTGTAGAAATGAGCAATACTCATTTTACATGCCTACCTGCCACCTTTGTTCGGATTTGCATATTTTCTTGTAAAGCTGCCAATGGTTCTAAATATTCAGGTGCTTTTCCGGCTATGACCTCTTGTAGCTTTGCATCCACTTGGCTTAATCTTTCTTTGTAAAGCCTTAAAATAATACCAGGAAAAAAAAAAAGTGTATTTATTTTATTTAAAAAGCAAACACAGGCTAGAAGAAGTATTCCATCTCTAAGGAAGAAGGCAAAATAAAAAACACAGAGCTGTTAACAGAATTAAGATGGAGTAGGAGGTGAATCAACATGAAAGAGGACAGGAAAGGGTGCTACAATACACAAGCACAATATGACTTACATCATGGGAGAGAAAAACAGACATTTTGTGGATAGAAACACGCATTTTGCTTTCATGTTCGCATATCTGCTCCCATCCTATCATAAACCAAGAGAAAAGAGAGGCAAGCTCATACTGTAGCAACCCTCATTCCACCTCCTGTGAAAATCCACATATTGCATATTATCACAAATACCATTGCATAATTTGTAGCTGACATCTTCCACTCCTGCTAAAAGGAAGCACATTTAAAATACTTTCATTTTACCAGAAATTCATTTCTTCTACAAAAGCTGGTATTTACTGGTAAACAATGAAGAAATCTGTTTGCATCTTAAAGAATTTAATGTAATATCAATCACAAGTACTTCAATCACTATAAAGCTCAGGTCTTGTAAATGGTAAATTATCAATTACAGTGTAATACAATATAGTGTAGAACAGTAGAATCATCAATACAACCAGCTTTCCCTGTTTTCATTTTTAACCTTGCACTTGACAATCAAAAACTGTAAAATTAAGGCAAACGTACAAATTGTTGCACATGTTAAGAGCACATCAGATGTTGCCTGTTTACACAGATAAATGTACCTTTGTTGCATCTGTTTACACAGATAAAACAGATGTCTTTAGGACAGGGATGCTGCTGTACTTCCCATTCATCTGCCACCAGCCTGCTCATCATTTTACTTTGATGACAACTTCATAGTTCAAGCCTGTGTACCTAACATAGCAATAGCCAGCGATCACTCCCCTCCTTACCTGCAAACCAAGCATTACACATGCAATCTGTCCTGCAGTCAACTGACAAAATCTGCAGCTGATCAAAACCCAGCTTGATGGGCTCAATCCTTGATGAGCACACAACTGCTAACATATAGTCAGCTACAGCAGAATTATTTAGCTAGAACATAAGCATGGGTGCACAACACACATGACTGGGTGGGTCACTAACATTAGATTACACAGCAACAAGTTCCAGCTACATCAAAGTGAGCAGTACTTGGTACCATGCAGCAGCTGATGAACTGTTTATCCAGTACTTTCAAACACTGATTTGCTTAAAATGGATAACTGCTATCAGCCACTGTAAATCCTATTTATCTCATAGCATCTAAATTCTGTTTCTCTGAAAAGGAAGAGGAGGTACATGCAATCACTTCATTATCTCTGCTACTGGTTGTGGCTAAACATCCCGCTGTTTACAAATCTTTTTCTTCTTTCCCAACTTATCACTTCCCTACTCACATCTGCTCCTTCCTATAACCTTTCTTCCATCATTCTAATGCTCCTTTCCCAGTAATCCCACCACTGCAGTTTTTCCAGCCCCTAAAAACACACCAATCTCATTAACCAGTGTCTACACAAGGCCTCCTTCCTCATATACCACAGCCTTACCAACTCTCAAACACCACCCACAATCCCTATACCCCCCCAAAATGCTTGTTTCCTTCCTCACAAGACCACCTTCCTTCATATTCACTCCTTAAAGGTTTGTTTCTACAATCTCTGTTCAGTCATCCAAGCTGTCCAACAGATGGAAAAGTAGAACTGAACTCAAAAGCTGGAGGTTATCCAAATGCCAAACCAGTTGTTACCAACTGGCTCCAATACTAATCAGCTGGCTCCATTTGCCAGCTTGCTCCTTGATCAGCCCAAAGTACAGCAAGACAAACAGTATTCTCTAGACACCGCAGCAAGAAATTGCTTGCTGGGCAATTCTTTCCAGTCCCAATTAGATGGACTTCACAGTGTCCTGTTCAGCAAAGCAAGTTGTGTGTCTCAGTTCTGCAGCAGAAAGAACTATCTCACAATATAAACACGCATCTGAAACAGTGACAAGTGACCTGACTTTCAATATATGCCAAATAATAGACAAGGTCTCCTCGAAGTTTCGCTTTGTCAGGTACTTGATAAAGCTAGTTGCCAAATTACCACCAATTTAAATCAGAACCTAGCTTGTCTGGGCATGTGGGGGAAAAAAAAAAAAGCCAACTTAAAATACATACAAAACACTGGCTCTAACATAAATGAGATTCATCTTTGAGTAACTATTATTTTTTACTATTAATACTTATCAGGTCTTTACTGCTGATGTAGGTATTATGGCAAACTACAGACAGCTAACAGTATTTTCATTTTTATTTTTTATTATTGGTATCTGGGTAGCAGTAGACACAAGAAACTCTCATTGGTACCAACTATAAAAATTGCTGCAATACTCTGAAAAAATAACAACTTAATATCTTATTTAGCAAAGACAGTACTTATGTCTGTTCCACACATTTAAAAGTATGAGAAAGATCTTGAGTAAATAAATATATACATTGAAAAAAACCCCAAATTTCCCTAAAATTACAATTCATTGGTTCTACTAAGGATTTTGATGTAATATACCCACACCAGCCCTTCACAACAAAAACACTTCAAAACCATTCTTACAGCAATACATAAAAGTATTCTAGAGCAACTGTCTGCAAATAATTTCAGAATTCCCAATCCTTATTCTTCTCCAGATGTAGCATCCTCATCTATGAAAGACAAGAAACACCAGCTACACACGATATTCTCATGGAATGGATCCTCAAGTGAGGCACTTAAAACATTAAAATACTTACTGATCTTTAAGGTCTGTAAATTGCTTTTCAAGATTGGACATTTCATCTAAACACTCCATCCTCCTTCTTTCACAATCTTCATCATCCATTTCTAAGAGTAAAAGAAAGATAATTTGAACAATGTAATGTATAACCAAATAAATTGGATATTTTGTTTCTGGTGAATCTGAAGCAAGCCTGAATTTCAGGTATGAACAGACTATCCATTATATTATAGCAGAACATGAGAAATCACTTGCCATATAAACTACAAAGTAAGAAACTTGAATCTAATTCTAGAAGAAACACCATAAACAGCAATTTTTCTTCCTCAGAACAGGAAACAATACCACAGTAAGGCTTCAAGAGGGTAAATATCATGACTGATAATATGAAGTGTACCCAAGAATGCGTGAAACAGAAAACTAAACATTTATATTCCTGATTTTTTTCTTAATTTACCTAGTGAACATAACTGTAAAGTGTAATAAATCCCCAGTTTTTGGCAAAAAATTTTGCCCTACTTGCCATGGAGTCATCTGATGCTACTAAACACCAGTTGTCACCTTCACAGCCTTTTCTTAGACCAGAAAACAGAAAAACTAAGCTACAAAATTCCTGACTCTTT